TATAAAAAAGGTGGTCAAAGCAGTAAGGGAAAGAATTCGAAGAAATCCTGTCCGAAAGCAAAAGATTTTATCTCGGGAGATGATATCACCTAGAACCATGTCGCGTATTTTAAAAGATGACTTAGGACTTGCAGCCTATAAGAAACGTACAGGTCATTTGTCTTAACTGATAATTTAATACTAGAAATAGGGTGGTAAAACGAAACCACTTACTTACGTACAAAGGGAGGTCATAGAAAAATTTTGTTTACGGATGAGAATTTTTTACAATTGAGCAACATTTTAACAAACAAAATGACCGTATTTATGCTCAAAGCTCTAAGGAAGCTTCCCAATTAGTCGACAGAGTGCAACGTGGGCACTATCCGACTTCAGTGATGGTTTGGTGGGGTATTAGCTATGAAGGAGTGACTGAGCCATACTTTTGTGAAAAAGGTATCAAAACATCGGCACAAGTGTATCAAGATACCATTCTTGAGAAGGTAGTGAAGCCCCTTAACAACACCATGTTCAATAATCAAGAATGGTTCTTCCAGCAAGACTCGGCGCCAGGTCATAAAGCTCGGTCTACGCAGTCTTGGTTGGAAACGAACGTTTTGGACTTCATCAGAGCTGAAGACTGGCTGTCGTCTAGTCCCGATCTTAATCCGCTGGATTATGATTTATGGTCAGTTTTAGAGAGTACGGCTTGCTCTAAACGCCGTGATAATTTGGAGTCCCTAAAACAATCCGTACGATTGGCAGTGAAAAATTTTCCCATGGAAAGAGTGCGTGCTTCTATTGATAACTGGCCTCAACGTTTAAAGGACTGTATTGCAGCCAATGGAGACCACTTCGAATAAGCTATTTATTTTTTAAATTGTTTTATATTTATGTATTAAACTAACACACTGTAAAAGTAATAAATGTTATTTGCAATAGAATTTTTTTTCCTTTGTCTCAGTATTTATGGCAAGACTAGGTATATCCCCTTGCAGGCTGACAATACGATATGATTTTTCGTTTAATTTATTAAGAGATTTTATGACCTGGACCTTTAAGTCATGTCTTATTTTAATTTATATTTTTATTTTTATGAAAAATGATAATATGGAGTGAAATGAAATGAAATGAAGATGATTAATTTGAGACATTAATCAACTGGGATGAAATTAAATGAAATGAGATGAGATCATACGGGATGAAATATTCTCAGTAGAATGGTGGTCATTTACTGAGATTTTTTCAGTGGACTTTGGACTTTTTGGAGGATCACGTGAAATTACGTCCAGCGGTTTTGTTTCAGTTTCCCACATTTGTGCACTTTCACAGATATTAAACAGTTAATAAACCACCGCGATTACACATTTAAACCTGAAGAAACACTAAATAGACCAAATAAAACAAATCACCCAACTTCACTCCTCGCATTCCCGCCAAAGTCAATTTTTTTTTGTTTTTCAGCCTAAGCATAACCTTACTTAATTACCTACCAACCTAATTATACGATCCTATTCCTAATCTTAAACTAAATGTGACCAAAATCCCATCGCGCAAGACATTGCTCATCGGAAATGGCGTTGGATAGGACACACTCTACGGCGCAGCGGAGTCAACGCAGCATCAATCGCGTTTGAGTGGCAACCGCTTGGCAGGAGAAGACCTGGTCGCCCTGTACACACTTGGCGACGCTCCGTAGAGAGTGAGATGAGGACTGCCAACGTGACCTGGAGTGATGTCAAGGAGCAAGCGCAAGACAGGGTAAAGTGGAGACAGCTTGTGAGGGCCCTATATACCAGCAGGGTACCCTAGGACTACAACAACAACATTCCTAATCCTTCATAGTGAAAACGGTTCGTAAATACCTCTATGACAACATTCCAAAAAATATTTTTTTAGGTTTTTTTATTTTTTGTTATTGCCCTTGTAGGCAGACGAGCATACGGCCAACCTGATGGTGAGTGGTTACCGTTGCCCATGGACTTCAGCAATGCTAGGGGCAGAGCCAAACCGCTGCCTACCGCTTAAAAAACGTACGTACGTATTAAAATAAAAACAACAACTAAAAATGGATTAAAACGTTTTATTAGTATAATTAAAACAAACACAAAATCGAACTGTAGTGTTCACTTAAGAAACATGGCAATAGTATTCGAAAAACTGAATGTCAATTCGTAATCTTACAAAAGTCTATTACGTAAATGTACACAGAGTTACACACATTACAATATAATCTGCATTGCAGCCTACTAAACAATTAAGTATCAAAATTATCTTAAAATTACTAAAAATCACCTCGGGGCTTGTAAATAAAGCATAAAAAATACACAATTACTGTTAAAAATACTTCGCACTTTATTAAAAATTTGTGCTAATACACTCAAGAATAGGGTTGGGTCTTGTTTGATTTTTCATTAATACGCAGGTACAACAAATACAATTCTGTGAAAGGTTTCTCTATGAGAACAATAAGTACCTACTTAAAGTGGCCGAGTGATGAGTGTGCTTAGTGCGAGTTTTTTAACGTGCTCGATAGCGTAAAAGTTAACTTAAATTTGTATGCAGTTGGAACAGCGCCCCTAGCGGCAAACGTAGCCGAACGTTCCAACTCCATACAAATGTGAGTTAACTTTTACGTTATCGAGAACGTTAAAAAATTCGCAATAAGCACACAGATAATAGGTGTTGTAGTCCTTTAGTTATATTTCTCGTATTGGCGCATCTTCCCGGGGGGGTAGATGACGTAAGTTGCTTTATACGCGTCTTGTGAACAAGCAACCAGGTGACACCCGTGACGTCATCTAGACCAGCTTTGGATAGAAGGATTAGATAATTGCTGTGCCGACGACTGCCAATATGTCGGTTTTTAGCGTATGTTAGTAAACTCTTGTCCAACACCCGCCTGGATCTATGAAATTCTCTCTCATTCGAGATCCAGACGGGGATTGGTAAGTGATTTCGCTGCACCTTACAGAGATGAAGAATAATCCCAGAAACCGATTAATGAATTGGTCGCTATTTCTGAAAATACTGATACGTCGTGTATGAAAATCAAAAAGTTGATTATAAATTAAATACTTAGTTAAGCTCGATCCAGCACGCGGCTGTATTTATTATACGTATGTAACTAATCACGAAGTCTCTACTTTTAAAAGTCAAAATCCAAACACGCAAATGGTTTGAAGCTCTAAGTACAATAGGATTTAAAAAAGATTTTAAAGAGTTCTGAATTTTAATAAATCAGTAACTACATAAATACCTACTGAATATTGATGTGGCGTCAGAAAAAAAAAATTGTTTATAACTGCACAAACCAGTTACGTCCATTTTTGTCTTCTATTGGTTAATAGATTTTCTTTTTGTTTTATTAGCTTTATTATTATTACCAAAAAAAAACGCATTTCCTCTCACCTTCACAAATTTCAAAATAGTAAGTAGTAAAGTAAGTCTGAATCAGTCATCAGTGCTAATTAATGGTCGAATTTCGATGGCTATGCGAACGCTCACCTCGAAATAATGTCGCCTTTGAATGTCGATTAATGTAACCCACTAGAGATAATCGGGGTCTTACAACAATTTTCACATATAATCCTACAGAAAGTGTACCCGCTACTGTCGGTACTAATCAACGAGTTCCAGTGGTAGCATCCAAAAATAGACCAGAAAGAGGGTAGATAGATTTATTTGTTCCCAACATCCTACCCACAGTCTTCAGTCTAACCATCGTCATGACGCTTGCAATACGCTGAAATACCGGGAACACATTAAATGCGACAGTCGCGGTAAAGGCCCTCAATTAATATGCATTCGAGAATCAGCTGCCCTTGAGTTGTTAGGTTTCTTCTGGGGACGCTCGGGCAGCTGTTAGAAAATGCCATCCCTGGGCTGAGCCTTTGCTCACCTACATGTCTTGGTGAATCTGGAAAGGGCTCAAGGCCACTAGTAATCCTTCCTATCAAAAAAAAGTATGCAATGTAGATAACCACGAAAGTGTAAAGCAGAATGATTTAAGCTGAAAGCAAAACACTTGAGGACTTAAATTGAAACCTAAAGGTTTAAGCTCTTAGAAAACCTCGTCCCTCCTGGCTGAGCCTTTGTTCACCTACATGCCTTGGTGAATCTGGAAAGGGCTCAAGGCCACCAGTAATCCTTCCTTCCAAAAAAAATTTTGCAATGTAGATAACCACGAAAGTGTGAAGCAGAATGATGTAACTATACTGAGAACTTAGAACTTATATCTTAAGGTGGGTGGCGCATTTACCTACGTCGTAGATGTCTATGGGCTCCAGTAACCTTATAACACCAGGTGGGCTGTGAGCTCGTCCAACCATCTAAGCAATAAAAATAAAAAATAAAACTTAATCTGAAAGCAAACACTTGACGACTTAAATCGAAACCTCAAAATTTAATGTGCTATAATAATTTTGATTCCAGGGTCAGGCTCGCCGGCCGCGTCCTTGGCCAGGGGCGCGTTGCCGCACATCCTGAAGTTCTGGGTGTAAGGTATGACGCCAACAAGGACACCGGAAACGATCACCCATATACCAGCCAAGTAGAACGCCGCGTCCCATTGGCCGGTCGAATCTTTGAGAGCTCCTGAAATTAAAAATAAAATCATCCAAACGGAACCAACAGTCCAATATTAACTGTAATTTAACTAGCAATATCAGTACAGTTTAAAAAGGGATAATTGAGTCGACTATTATCAAAGCCGGCAATGTGACTTTTGGACAATTATTGGTAAATCAGAAAAACGAATTATTGACTTTGTATTCCATTGGCAGTCACAAAACTCTTCTGAACGACATCTTAGATAAATAACAGGTTAAGTATTAACCTTTATTTAATGCAGGTTTTGAACCGTAGTCTTTGAAGGAGACGATTATATTCAAATCAATCTGTATTGACATATCAATAACATTTTTTTGTCCAAATGCACAGATTGCCACCTTTGATAATAGACGACTCAATTATTATATTAAAAACAAGTTGACTCGTGATCAGGCTATTTGCCGGAAAGCAAGCATAGCCCAAATGATAAGACAGTCGCATAATGTAATTAAGAATATCTTAAATAAGCAACAGGTATATGCCTTGTCCTTTTCTCCTTTGCGGCAGAGAAGCAACATTAGAGAAGTTCGCACGGAGACACTAACTTCGATTTGATTTAGTGTAAGAAAGTTTTCCTTTTTTTTATTCCCATTTGTAGGCAGACGAGCATACCAGATGGTAAGTGGTCACCGTCGCTCAAGGACGTCAGCAATGCCAGGGGCAGAGCCAAGCCGCTGCCTACCATTAAGTACTCTCCACAAGCCTCGTTTGAAGAAGGACATGTCATAGCGCTCCGAAAACACCGTGGAGGGGAGTTCATTCCAAAGCCGGATGGTACGTGGCAAAAATGATCTTTGGAAACGCACTGTCGATGAACGCAGCGGTTCCAGATAATATCCATTTCCTTATTCTTATATCCATTTCAAATGAAAACTTTTTGAAGTCATAGTTCAATGACAACGTCTAAAGAGACTTATATGATGAAATGAGGTGATAAGCTCGACATACGAGTTTACATCGTTCCAAAACCTTGTTCGTTTCAAAGCACTCGTATATCGAGGTACCACTGTATAACTATAAACGGCCGTCTGGTGTAGTGGTAAGTGACATGGTCACTACAAAAGGTGGTCGCGGGTTCGAATCGCACTGAAGTATTGTCAAACTTTTGTTATTGCTTATAGTCAAATTGAAAATAGGTTAGTATTGTTTATCTTTAATATTACGAATATTTGCCTATAGTGTATAGTCTTGGCAAAATCTGTAACAATAGGACCATAATAATGTTGAAACTAATAATTCCAATTAATTATAGTCGAATTTCGACTACTGCGGGACCACTAGTATTATATTAATAGCAAAAAAAAACTATAAGCAAATACTAACCAGCTATAGGGGGACCAATCAGATGGCCAACGCCCTGACTGAGTAGCACCAGGCCATACGCCATAGTAAACCTTTCAAGCGCAATCAGCTCCACCAATATACTGGGCGTGTAAGAATATGAACTGGAAAACATCAATCCAAAAATCGCCGCGTTGATGGCTAGAACGTAGAAACTGGCCGGCGATGCCGGATCCAATACTCGTATCAGTACCGGGAACATTACTATCGATATGCCGCAGAATACGAGGCATATCGCGTAAGTCTTGGTCACGTTCACCCAGGGCAGATCGCCCATCCAACCGAGGCCCACCTGGAAGGTTCAAAGAAATCGTTGTCAAATATTTTTACTTATTTCAGATTTTGAATCCATATTATATTCATTAACATAATAACATTTCACTAAGAATCCAAAACTTAAATAAAAACTATAACAACAATTTCGGAACAAAATATAAATAAATAATAATAATAAAACACAAAATAGAAATGAATGTCAAAACTACCCTAACCTAAAGGCTGGTTTGGATCCAGAGTGCTCAACATGCACACGTGTCCAGTGTTGCATTATTGGACAGTCCAGATCCATCCACGATTCGAACAGCCGCGGGTAGCGAACATTGTAGATGTCTATGGGCTCTAGTAATCACTTAACAACAGGTGGGCTGTGAGCTCGTCCACCTATCTAAGCAATAAAAAAAATATAAAAAAAATAGCTGTTGGGACTGACCCGCACGCAGCGCATTATATATGTACATAAATATAGATATATAATATACGTGCATACTATTAGGTGCACAAATTGAGAAATAATTGTATTGAATTGCGTCCTTGTTTATCTTCAGATAATTTTGCAATGAGAGGCATAAAGTGCAAAATGTGAGTGAATTGGTAATTAAATGCATATTGCGTTAATGGACGTAAACACATGAGTTGTTTATGCACTAAATCGGTGGCCATGCCCAATTGGTCACAGAACCCCATACTAACTTGAGGTCTACGACTCAATGGTACTGTACACCGCTGTCGCAACCTTCAAACTGGTTTGTTTTGCGGTGGAAATTCTGTTTCTTTTGTTTAAACAATTAAAGTGATGATAATGTCACAATAACTCAAATATGCATTAAATTAAATCACTACCTGTATAAATAAGAAATAAAGTTAAACAGTCGCAAAATGTATTAACAAAGAATTATCGCAGGAAAAGAAACTGTTTGACATATCTACATACCTACGTGGATGCAACATTTTAGTTATGTTTCAACGGTCGTATTTTGTCCTTAGACTATTAAAGTGTTTATTGTGTTGTGTAGTATTTATCGTGTTGTCACGTTCCATTGCCGTTATTGTTTATCATAACAAATACGACTTTAACTGGTAATAACAATGAATGTCACAATGTATATAAAACAAAATGATCTACTAGTATAAGCCCGGACATAGTGTATACATTTTTGGCCTCATTAATCCCTTTCTAACACTCGCTTTAGATGTGGATAAAAGTTAAACAAATTTCCAGCGGTTTCCGCGACCATTACGAAATGCGTTCGCAGGGTTTCTAGAATGTGCTAGAATCTTGACAGACCGGCCTAAGCTGAAGTTAATGTTATGATGACAGATAATAAACGACAGATGAAGACAAATACCTACTAGAGCGGTTTTTGGCACAATCAAAATTATCATAACAGTTCTTTGTAGTAGATAACTACTTTCCAGGCCTGTGGTATTTTTGGAGTCCGTCGGCGAGGGGAACCACTTATGACGTACTTAAGCCACATGTGCGCGTTTTCGACACCCATACACACTTCGAAAACACACATTACCACCGGCCAGCTGTAGCCTTTATATCTCTTCATTGATATACCGCTATATTGATGGTGAAACAAAAATACTTTTTAACGACCTTTGTAGACATATGAGTACACGGCCCAACTTGATTGGTCACTATTGCCCAATGGACGTTAGCAATGGCAGGGGTACAGGCAAGCCAAATACTAGCGTTGAGGAATCTCCTAAAATTTCGCTTCAAAAAGAATGTGTCACAGCGACGGGAAACATTAAAAAAATAAAGTTCCAAAGTATGATGGTACATGATAAAAAAACCTCTGCAAACGTACTGTGGATGAACTGTTCCACTATAGATAAACTATGTTCTTGTGTATATATCCTATATTATACGCTTTATATCAACTTCACTTGTATGTATGTTTGTATGTTTGTAACTGACTCCTTTAGATGCGATTTTGACCCACTTTAAACAGCCAGATTTCATTCAAACTCTGTAAATTTAACGAGGACCGATGACAATTCAATATTTAAAAAAAATTGGAAAAATAAAATTGAAAAAAATTATTGAACAAATTGAAATTCAAATAACAAATTTAAAATAAATAATAGTTTAAAAAAACTAAAAAACACGTTTTATATAAAATTCAACTAAAAAATAGAAAATAAATTAAAATTGAAAACAGTAAAAAAAAAATTTTTTTTTATTGTAAAAAAAGCGTGGAGTGCATGGTGTTATTAGTTATACACAATATTTTTCTGACAGATGAGTCGACTATTATCAAAGCCGGCAATCTGACTTTTGGACAATGATTGGTAAATCAGAAAAACGAATTATTGACTTTGTATTCCATTGGCAGTCACAAAACTCTTCGGAACGACATCTTAGATAAATAACAGGTTAACTATTAACCTTTATTTAATGCAGGTTTTGAACCGTATTCTTTGAAGGAGACGATTATATTCAAATCAATCTGAATTGACATATCAATAAAAAAAATTTGTCCAAATGCACAGATTGCCACCTTTGATAATAGACGACTCAGATATGAGTAGAAGAATTATTATTTCAATAATATCTTAAAAAGCACCCTTAAAAAGCAAAGCATTTTTACTATAATACTTACTATTCCAATTATGGTAGCAATGCCAAAAGTGCTCAGTAACCAAGAGCCGTCTACTTCGGAGTAGCCCCGCATCTGCATGAAACTGGATATGTAGAAGTAAGGTACTATGAACCATATGAACAGCACCAGCGTGGATAAGTTCATCATTAGGAAATGGAACTCCGTGAACATGTTGAAATCAAATGTTTTGTTGATCGTGTCTATTAGTCGTCGTCCCCATGTCTAAAATATAAATAATACATCGTCTTTTATAATACGTCGTCTTTTCGCATTAAAAGTGTACAATTTCCAAAAATAATCGAAATTGAGTTAATACGCGGAATCATTTGGTATCACCAGTATTTTTCTCATAAATACTGTCAAAAGAGTGCAGTTTAGTGTTAGTTTTTTTTTAGTTTACCTATATTTTGACTACTATTAACAAAATTAATACATAATTTTATCTTACTTTAAAAAACAGATAATGTAACTGGTGAAAACTAAAAAATAAATGTTTTAAAGATGATTAATATTAAAAATATCATATGTCAATATGATACAAAACCTTTAAAACACTCTCCTGTAAAATTTTGTAAGTTTTGAGATTATACAGTTTTAATTTTTATTTAATTAATTTAATGCGAGAAGACAATATGTAAGATTCGTGCGAACAGAACCTGAGAGAAAACGGTTAGAAAGGGAGAAAGAGAATAATAAATAAAATCCTGCTGGCTGAGCTTTTGCTCGCCCACCCGTCCTGGTGAAACTGGAAAGGCCTCTGGGCAACAAATATACCTCAATCGTAAAAAAAAAACAATAAATGCGCAAAAGTGAAATAGTTTTAATACAGTTTTAATGCGAGAAGACGACGTGTATGTCGTTTGAAGGCAGAGTTTAGGGTAGCGGTCTACCCCGGAGAACATATCGTGTTGGACTCAGTTTTCAGAAGTCTGTCCGGTCGGTGGAATGAACAACATCTTATGCTCAGCTCGCACGACTCTGCCGAGGTGATGACGTCACCGTCGCTTGCATCTCATTGACAATTCAGCTTCTATACAGGTAACCCTCAAATAACACGGTATTTTACAATACGGTTTCACTCTAAAAAAATCCCCAAAACCTTCTTTAACAAGGTACATGAACCACACGATAGCGAGATTTTCGTTTAAAATTATTTAGAAAATTACTTTTTGCGCTATGAATACACAATACATGGGAATAAATGAAATTTTACTGCGTATTTTCTTATGTTTAAAAGATAAAAAAAACACATAAAGCCTTAGTTACGATGTTTCATTCAGAAAAAATACTCTCCTTTTTGTACTGGCTTCTAGTCTCATACAACACGAGACTTTGCAGAAATGTCTCTGCCTTGTTATAGGAAGGTTACATGTACTATAATAGATCTCTCGGACATATAAACAAAAACAAAAATGATTTGGATCCATTTCTGAAAATGTGACCACTCTGATAAAACCAGTGACAAAAACACAGTGTGTGGGTCAAAAGATCATCAGTCTTTTTGTGATTTGATTTTGTACGCACTATTCTCCATGATCAGTGATTTCCAATTACATGATTTATTGAGACAAAATTACAACGACAAGTAATTAAGATAATGTCAACTAACTTACAGATACGATCGATAAATATAATCGACTAAGAAATTAAACTGATAAGTAAAACGATTTCTTTGTTCACGGATTCAAATAATACGGTAATCGCAATTAACATGCCCGATTACGGAAAACCAATTCTTTTAGTAATGTTCGTATCGCACGTAGATAAGATTCTGAAGATTGACTACTTTTCCAAAGAAAAAAATTCTCTCATATTAGACTGTTTATTAGGAATATGCGACAGAATCTACTGAGGGAGATTTATAATAACAAATCAGGTAGCTTACCTTTTCCTCCTGGTCTTCAACGGACCACATAGAATTTCTATAAATATCTGGACAAGACGACGCACGGAGTTTGTACTTGGCAATGTTCATCATTGCCCCGCGATGCATTATCGAATTCCTGTGCACCCTTATCTCTCTGAAATAATGATGATCGGTTTGGATCTGTCTCGAGAACCAAGCCTGCCGTTCAGCTTTCGGTATTATGACCTTGTTTTCTGGTATCGGTTGCAGTAACTTCTCCTTCACAACGTCCAGCTTAGATGCAAAGTCTTTCTTCTCTTTCTTACTGAGTTTCAGCTTCATGGACATTTTCACTGGTTTCGCTTTGGACGGGGGCGGTTCTGTGGGTAGTTTCTGTTCGGAATTACTCCTTAGTGCAAGTAATGATGGATAATTCTGTAATACTATGTTATAAAGTCGCTTGTTTGATATAAGCTGGTCTAATACTTCTGCTGGTACCTGAAATATAGGCAGTTTAATGATTTAGAGGATCAAAGGTATAAAATTAATTCATTAATATTATGGATCATTTAGTTATGTATAATTTTTTTATGTAGGTATGTCTATGAGTTTTACGGTAATAACTTATGAAAACCACGTCCCTACTGCTTATATATTTTTTGTCATTGTCGCTCTTGCTACATGCGTTTTCAATTATAATACTTATAGTTATAGAACTTTAGTGTAAACAATATTAATAATTTAGGGTACCTTTTCGCTTTGCTTCAAAAACGTAGGTAAATTTATCACTGAGCTAACTTTGTGGTTGGAAAGATCCGCATTAGCTTTTGTAGCAGCCTCCAAGCTTTCCGCTTCGGCAATCGACGCTACTAATGCCGTTAGTATATATTCCGGTGTCTCGCCACTCTTTATCATTGTCTTAATTTCCTCGACTCCAGGGTACATGGACTCCGCTCCACCAGACTTTGCAGATCTAGCCGAGATCGACATAGAACTGGAAGCTCTCTTTGCCTTACTCAACTGTCTTTGCTTTTTTTGTTCGAGAATCAGCCATTCAGGGTCCCTCATGAGCATACCACACACGCACACGTTTAGTACCGTGCCAGCGAGTAGTAGTAAGGCACCTCTCCAACCGTATTCATCAAGTAAGTAGGTGGTCAAGGGAGAGTAAATAAATGTTCCAAAGCCAACTCCGCACGAGCCGAGCCCGACGGCTAAGTTACGGCGCTTTTCAAACCAAAACGCTATTGATACGACAGCTGTAACATACAATAGTCCCATACCTAATCCAGCCATTATACCATAAGTAACATATAAGACTTCAACGGAATTGCTAAATGATGCAGCAACGAATCCGATTGTAGACGCAACCCCGCCAACTATAGTCATATTCTTGCATCCGTATCTGTCGACTAAAGCACTCATAATTGGTCCAGCGATCAATGGAACGGATATAAACAAACTTCCGATAAGCGAAGTTTTCGCTTCGCTGGTCTCGAAGTAAAGGACGAACTTGTCATTTATCAGCCCATAAGAAAATGCCAGGCCGTCTGCTACTGTCGCTACTAGAAATGAAGCAGCCACAACCACCCAGCCCCAACCGCCATCTGGTATTTGCGGAGTTGACTCCGGCGGTGGTCCACTAGAACATATACTATCTGCATCTCCTAGCCCAAAGAACTTTACACCTTCATTAGTTGATGTCGCATCATCTTCTTTCCCGTCTTTATAATAACCAACCGTCAAGTTATTTTCGTCATCTTTTCTATCTGAATCTTGAGTTCCCTCATCTTTCTTCAAATCTACACCATCAATAAACTCTATATTTTCCTTCTCTAATAAAGGAGACGTAGTCTTCTCCTCTTCAGACGGAACTTTATGCTCGTACTTGAGATACTTCTCATTACCGGCGACTCCATTTGCATATGTACGTTCCGTGTCCATGAGGCAACGGAGCGACCACAAACAGTGCTTAATGAGCACGCAGACTTGAGTCCTCTAAGGACGTCGAAACTACCGAAACTGGATATAAAATCCAACTAGACGAGACGTCTACGTGGAGGTGCTTAGTTCTCTTGACCCGTATCTTAATCTTGGATCTCTAGCTGAGTAACGACAAGGCTTCTTTGAGATGCAGAGTGTCAGGGCGCAGGGGTTGTAGCTTATCGGGTACATCAAGGACCGGCTAGTCCTCGATCTCACACTCCCGAAAAAAACACTTTCGTAGCTGTAATTGTTTTTGTTCATGAACGTCGTGAATCTCTTTGACATGAAGAATTAAAGTTTCGTGCTGTATCCTCTTAGAGACATTTCAGAACTTCAATCATGAATATACCAGAATCTGAAACAACAGAACATTTTTGATTTGATTTTCATTGAACCTTAGTATTTAATCTAGCCGTTTTTTTTTATGTATTTTTTATTGCCCTTGTAGGCAGACGAGCATACGGCCCACCTGATGGTGAGTGGTTACCGTCGCCCATGGACTTCAGCAATACCAGGGTCAGAGCCAAGCTGCTGCCTACAAAGCTTTCCTTGTCGCGTACCATTCGACTCTAACATGAACCCTCATTTACGAAGTTTCCCGAACTCTGTGATATTACCTTCTTCAAACGAGCTTTGAGGAGTCTCCAGCTGCAGGCATCGTTTTTTATTGAGCTGGAATTCCTGATGTCTACGCGTTACGGTTACTACTCATCATCAGCTAAGCCTTCGAAGACAATAAAAGATTCAATATGGCTCAACATATCTACATCTTCAATGGTCTAGTAGTTATTGGCTTTGACAGTAACCAATAACAAAGTGGATTGTAGACTAGAGTAATTTTGTTCATGATATTCGGCATTCCTCTCGTATTTTAGGAACTCATAACACAGGAGAAGATCCAGAAGAAAGCCTTTGAATGTGACCCGTAAAATGTATTTTAATGGAAGCCGCTTCCATTCTGTGCGCTCCTGTGACCATTATTCATTTCAAACACAGCTTTATTATTTTCTGTAAACTTTCCAAGCATAAATTTATATTCTAAAAACTTTTTTTAATAATCGATTAAAACTATTGTTTTCGCTTAAATTTTTCACAGAACAACTTTGACAACTTATAATACCCGTGAATGTTGTATTTTTCCTACCTAATCCTAGTTACCTCGAAGGGTTATATAACTTCACCTGACGTGATGTATCTTTCAAGCCGCATCTTCATAATAATATTTACAAATGAATTATTGTAAGTATCATAAATTAATTAGTTATCTTCAGAATTGTAACAGAAAACCATTAGGTATTCACCTACATACATATTTTACAAGAAACAAATTCTTTTGTTTCGAAGATTATTTGTATTTTTTTAAAGACAGAAAGACTAGTTGCCGGTTGAGTCATTCATTATGATAATTTAGTGAATAATTTTAGAGCGTCGACTGTAAGATATAACATAGAATTCATAAGACGCTTGTGAACGAAACCAACTCTGCGGCAGCACCGATGTTTCTGATAAAAAGACCGGTTCCATTTCCCACCAAAAAAAAAAAACAAAAAGTATCACAAAGACGCGCCGATGATGAAATGTCGTCTCAAGAAAACCGAAAAAGTCACGTCGCTGGATTATTTTATTTCTTAAAGTCGTCCACTCCACGGAATGATAAAGTACATTTTACTATACCTTACCTATTATTAGCCGCTCCCAAAAGACAAGATATACATATGCAAATTAAACTATTTCTTAGTTATTATTTATTACTTGCGATAATTTCGTTGTTCAAATGAGCATTACGTAAACTGTATTTGCTGCAATAACCAACTTCCCTGACCATATCCAACATTTGCACAAGAATAATGAGATTTACAGCTTGCATGTCAACGAACGGAAAAACACGACGAGGTTCAGTTGAAAGTGGTTAGAACCGGTTTTGCGACCGACGCCATTGCATCGTTACCAATTAAACTTACCAACGCATACGAATGCAAAGTATCAATTTGCATTGAATGAGCGTAAATACGCATATTAAAACGCATTCAGAATTATATGAACACTGAATATTTGAGAATCGCCTCTAAAAATAGGTACTCTAAAAATATTAGTAGGGAATTTTTAGTAAACTAAACATATTTCGAAGACACTACTACACGGAGATAATCTTTCCGGTTCTGTTGCTAAATAAATGTAATGTAAATGTAAGTAAGGTGGATTTTATGAAAATTTAAGTCGATTCGTTCATGTTTCAATCAATATTCCTCCTATTAATTAATCGATACCGCTACATTTACTTTATAAAGCTACCTTGGTTTTTATCTGTTGAACGACTAAAAATACAAGGAGAAGAGATAAAATAAACGCGCGTTTGATAAATGAATTTACTGTCGTACAAACATTGCTATCAGGAAACGCCGAAATTGTAGAGGTTAACGCCCCCGAAAACAAAGTCAAGGTTGTTTGAATGTAGGTCGCATGACTTGAAGCGATATTAAAGCAGCTAATATTAAAGCAATAAATACTAAATTTCTTTGACCGCAAAACCGAGCCCATCCATGTAATTGCAAAAGAAGATAGGTACATTTCTATCTTCTTTTTTTCTATTTAAGCTGGGTAGTCTTGAGAGGTTATGCCAGCGTAACCCTAACGTGTAGGTAAGCTCTCGGGGTTCAAACATCTGGACGTTGCTAACACTAGCCCTAGCAAGAGCAATGCTTCGCAGAATCTACCACCGGATCGGAAACGCGACCCACTGAGAAGGCCCGGCGAGACCCCTCGTCGCAAGCAACGGGTTCGACGAGAAGGTATTTCTATCACGTGCACTGCGGTTTGTACGATATTTTTTATCGGTATAGATGAGTCACACGCCATGTACTGATAATACATCAAGGTCAAATACTATCGAAGCCCACATTAGAATGAAGTTTCTACTGTGTTATACGACCAGAAACCTGCCGTAAGATTATTAAGAAGCAGCAGCTACGTGGTGATCACCCATAACATCAGACCGCTGAGTTTTTCGCCGAATCTTCTCAGCTCGGCTCCTAATGTCGATCCGGTAACAAACGCATTCGCGAAGCTACTTTGAATTACCAGGCCTCATTGGCCCGAGCTGTTATTGGCAAACCCTTCCCCTTCTGGTGAAGCTGGAAGGGTCCGCAGCCACTAACCTTCCATACCAAAGGAAACCCTAATGTCGTTTTTTTTCCTAATATTTACATTGTAGAAATCACGCTTTCTCGGGGATTCTGTAACGACTGAACAATAAAACATTTACTTCTTCCAAACTTTAAATGTACATAGATATTTCGAAAAAGGCTTAAGAGCCGTGACTTTATGTCTTCGATATATTATTATACCTTAGGAGCTATGAGAGAGCATATACATTACATCGAAACGTTAGGAAAATCAAAGACGTTTAAGCACGACCCTATCGTATTCATCTTTGTAATCTTACAAAATGACGTAACGCACATCTCCAAAGCCCTGTTCAAAGAACAAGTCCTGATCTAGCTGTCAGTTCACATCAACCAATCCACTGACAAAGAATCCAATAAGGAAACACTCAATTATGAAATAGCTGCAAAGATCCAGTCAACACTAAAATCAACCTCTTCTCAACATTGACACGGATAGCTTTACGTGTACCAATAATTACATCCGTTGTTGGCAAGATAATTGAAGATTATGGTTACTTATACCGTTGAGAACAGAGGATTGGACCTATTTGATAATAGCGTGACAGACATTTGCCGTGCCGCACACTGTCCTTCCGTATCTCTACGGTAAGTTTTTATATGTCTTGAAGGCGAGCACTTGATCCGGGATTATACAAAATCGGGGGTTCTGCACCTAAGCCTTCGTACGTACGGACCAGTATGGCATGCTCTTAGCCCACAGACCCACTGAGTTTCTCGCCGGATCTTTTCAGTGGGTCGCGTTTGCGATCCGGTGGTAGATTCTGCGAAGCACTGCTCTTGCTAGGGCTAGTGTTAGCAACGTCCTTAGGTTAGAGCTCCGTGAGCTCACCTACTCGCTCGGTGACGCTGGCGTAACCTTCTAATGTTACCAGCTAAGATAGGAAAAAAGTGTATGCGCCCGAGCTTAATGAAATAATAATGTCAGTGTGCGATAACTGCCTTCTCTAGTGGCTAATACTACTAAACCATCATCTGTCCGTAGTGGGTAAACGTTTATAATAAATATCCTCAGCCATTTTAATTAACTTCAATTAAATTCGGTACAATATTTTATATACTCGAATATAAGCAACTTAGTTACACAATTATTTATTAGGTACAGAAATGCATTCAGAAAACAAGGTATTTTGAATTGTGTATTTGGCGCGACGCCCGCTTCTTCAAAAACAAGAATAATATTTTTTTTCTCCGTCTTATTGCCACAGTTTATAAAGGACAGTGACTTAATACGTATATCTTAAGATTCAACTTCTTATTTTTTATTCATGCAGTTTTTTTTAATAATTCGAAGGTGAGAGTAATATGCCCGAAACGAGATTTTAAAACGAAATGTTATGATTCGCAATAAATGTGATTATGTTTGTGAATATGTTTTGTAATGAAAGTTTGGTCGAAAATTGGAAAACTTTGAAATGATCAATAAAAAAATTTAAGATGATTTTGAACTTCATTATAAAATATACATTTTAAATGGCTAATTAACAAGCAACGTCCATCGAAACCATATTAAAAATGAACTCCTAAAGAAACTTATTATTAGAGATATACTGTAGCACAAAAAGACATGGTAATTACGAGCAACATTCGTACGCCACGCCAGTCCGAAATCTGCTGCAGCGTCAACTTATTCCATAAACACCGAGACCTTTTTTTATAGCTTAGATGGGTTGACGAGCTCACAGCCCACCTGGTGTTAAGTGGTTACTGGAGCCCATAGACATCTAAAGCGTAAATGCGCCGCCACCCACCTTGAGATATAAGTTCTAAGGTCTCAAGTATAGTTACAACGGCTGCCCCGCCCTTCAAACCGAAACGCATTGCTGCTTCACGGCAGAAATAGGTGGGGTGGTGGTACCTACCCGTGCGGACTCACAAGAGGTCTTACCACCAGTAAAAGACTCCAGACCACCAGAGACCCGGTATTTCTCAAAGACGTTTTTGAACTACCTACTAGATTATTAAAGTACTAGATTATAAAATCGTTAGGGTACAGTGTGATCATACATACATATATTATATGAGATTGCGTTTGTTGTAGCCATATAACAAAATGATTTCCCATTTATCAATTAATTATTAAACATTTTTATTAATAACTAGCTGACCCGGCAGACTTCGTAGTGCCTCAATCGATAAATAAAAGATCTAAGCTTTTGTATAAAATAAACTT